TGAATTTGAGGGTGCTGAGTTGGCCAATGTGATTGCAGAGCCATTGACCATCATCTTTAAAAACTCATGGCAATCGGGAGAGGTCCCGGATGATTGGAAAAGGACAGATATAGTGCCCATATTTAAGAAAGGGAAAAAGGAGGATCCAGGGAACTACAGATGGATCAGCCACACCTTAATCCTTAGAAAAAGCATTGAATAGGTCCTCAGGAATCCATTTCTAAGCACTTGGAGAAGGTGATTAGGAACAGTCAGCATAGATTCACCAAGGGCAAGTTATGCCTGACTAACCGGACTGCCTTCTATTATGAGGTGACTGGCTTTGTGGATGCAGGAAGACCAGTGGATGCCATATACTGTGACTTTAGCAAGGCTTCTGATATGGTCTCCCACAAAATTCTTGCAGGCAAGCTAAGGAAGTACAAGTTGGATGAATGGACTGTAAGGTGGACAGAAAACTGTCTGGATCATTGGACTCAAAGGGTAGTAGTCAATGGCTCGACGTCTAGTTAGCAGCTGGGATCAAGTGGAGGGCCCCAGGGGGTAGTTCTGAAGCTAGTGTCTTTCAGTATCTTCATCAATGTCCTGGAAGATGGCACAGAGTGCACCCTCAGCAAGTCTACAGATGACACCAAACTGTCAGGAGTAGTAGATATGCTGGAGGGTAGGATTAGGATTCAGAGAGACCTAGACAAATTGGAAGTTTGGTCCAAAACAAAACTCGTGGTTCAATAAGGACAAGTTGGCAACTTGGGCAGCAGCGACCATGAAATGGCTGAGTTCAGGATCTGAGGAAAGGAAAGAAGAAGAAAAGACCGAGGGGATTTAATAGCATCCTTTCAGTACCGGAAGGGGGATTCGAAAGAGGATGGAGCTACACTGTTCTTAGCGGTGATAGATGAGAGAACAGGGAGCAATGGTGTCAAGTTGTAGCAAGGGAAGGTTAGGTTAGATATTAGGATGAACTTTCTCACTAGAAGCGTTGACAATATTATCAAAAATTAATTTTAGATGAATGCATGAGTGAGTGAATGAATATGGTATCAAGCATACCCAGTCTACTGAGAAAGCAGCCTTGAGAAGAACAAACAAACCATCTACAAGAAGATAAGGAGCAAGCAGACACCTTGTCTCCCCTGTCTCAGGATGTTGTAAATCAAAGTAACTCCTTACCATCCATCTTACCATCTGCATACCTAAGCCATGAGGTATGTGACGAGAGCCAGCTCAACAGCAACAAGGTGATTGGCTAAGCAGGTTGTCAAGGGCACTGCAGCAAAGTCTGCCTAAACTAAGTATAAAAGGACAGTGAAGACCTGGCCCCAACGACATCGTATGCCATCCACATCAACTCGGGAGAAAACTACCAGCGTTCCTCCCATAAGATCATCCTGTCCAGAGGCACCACGACTGGCCATCGTGACTGAACCTGAGCAACAGTGGATTGGCCTGTGTGTATGTGAGTATGAGTGGTTTTAGATAAAGCATTGCTTTTCCCCATTTGATCTATACGTGTCTATATGCTGAACCCATGCATTGGTCTTTCATCCAACAGGAGGGTGGTGAAGCACTGGTGCAGGTTACCCAGAGAGGTGGTGGAATCTCCATCCTTGGAGGTTTTTAAGACCCAGCTAGACAAAGTGTTCGCTGGAATGATCCTGCTTTGTAGAGTGGGTTGGACTAGATGACTTCCTGAGGTCCCTTCCAACCATTGGCAACAAAGGGGGTGCACACGGGTGCACATGCACCCCTTGAGATTGGCGGTGCACCCCTTGAAAGAAGCACTGCCAATGCTGCTGGTGGCATCTGCAGACAGTCGCTGATTGCCTCTGGTCAGCACTCGCCACCCCCCACCCCCCCACTGCCGGGAGCTTCCCACTCGCCGCTGCCCGTGCCCCCACCACTGCTGCCACCTGTGGGCGGTCGCCATGCTCCCCCAGCCTCCAGGGGCACACTAGTTTATGCTTCCAATCCTATTTAAGTCGGTCTAATGAAAGATATCAGATTCACCCAAAGAACCTTGTCTGCCTATGTCCGTAGACCAATACGGCTACAACCTACACCCCTCCAACCCTAATTTTCTGTTATTCTATGATTCTGAAACCCCTCTGGGTAACCTGTTCCAGTGCTTTACTACCCTCCTAGTGAGAAAGTTTTTCCTAACATCTAACCTAAACTTCCCGTGCTGCAATTTGAAACCATTGCTCCTTGTTCTACCATCTGCCACCACTGAGAACAGTCTAGCTCCATCCTCTTTGGAACCACCCTTCAGGTAGTTGAAGGCTGCTATTAAATCCCCCTCCCCCGCCCCCCCCAGTCTTCTCTTCTCTAGACTAAGTACGCCCAATTCCATCAGCCTCTCCTAAGTCATATGCCCCAGCCCCCTAACCATTTTCACTGCCCTCCATTGGACTCTCTCCAATTACATAGATTTATAGATGCTAGGGTCGGAAGGAAACTCAACAGATCATTGAGTCCAACCCCTGTGTAGGCTCGAAAGAGGGCAGGGGTCAGATAACCCTAGCCAGATGCCTATCCAGTCTTCTCTTAAAGACCCCAAGGTAGGGGAGAGCACCACCTTCCTTGGAAGCCCATTCCAAATTTTGACCACCCTTACTGTGAAGAAGTTTTTCCTGATATCTCGTGTAAATCTGCTCTCTGTCAGTTTATGACCATTGTTCCTTGTTACCCCAAGAGGCTCCCTGGTGAACAGAGCATCTCCGATCCCTTGCTGTGTCCCCTAATGAATTTGCAGGTGGCCACAAGATCACCTCTTAGCCTTCTCTTGCAAAGGCTGAAGAGGTCCAGATCCCTCAGTCTCTCCTCACAGGGCTTGTCCTGTAAACCCCTAACCATACGAGTGGTCCTCCTCTGGACCCTCTCGAGTCTATCAACATCCTTCTTGAAGTACAGCACCCAAAACTGCACACAGTACTCCAACTGCGGTCTGACCAATGCCACATAGAGTGGAAGTATCACCTCCTTAGCTCTATTTGTCATACATCTGCTGATGCATGATAAAGTGCAGTTAGCTTTGCTAATGATTTCGTCACACTGATGACTCATGTTCATCTTGGAGTCGGCAGTGACTCCAAGATCCCTTTCCACTTCTGTGCTGCTGAGAGGGTCACTTCCCAGCCAGCAGGTGTGCTGGATATTTCTGCGCCCTGGGTACAGCATTCTGCACTTGTCCTTGTTGTACTGCATCCTATTGTGTACTGCCCACTTTTTTAACCTGTCCAGGTCTGCTTGCAATCGTTCCCTACCCTCCGGAGTGTGCACTTCAACCCACAATTTAGTATCATCCGCAAACTTGGACAGAGTACACTTCACACCCACATCCAAGTCACTGATGAAGATATTGAAGAGTACAGGTCCAAGGACCAAACCCTGTAGGGCCCCACTACCCACATCTTTCCAGGTCAATACCGACTTGTCTACTATCACTCTCTGGGTGAAACCGCTAAGCCAATTTGCCACTCACCAGACTGTGTAAACACCTATATCACAGCCTCTTAATTTATTTATGAGAATGGGATGAGATACTGTATCAAAGGCCTTGCTAAAATCCAAGAAAACGATATCTACCTCTACTCCTGCGTCCAAGCATTTTGTGACCATCATAAAATGAAGCCAGATTGGTCAGGCATGATCTACCTGCTACAAATCCATGCTGGTTTCCCTGCTGCATTATTTTTTCCGCTGGACTCCCACAGATATGATCCTTCATAATCTTTTCAAAGACCTTTCCAAGGATGGAGGTGAGACTGACCGGTCTGTAATTACTTGGATCTGCTATCACCAAGTCCAGTAAGGCATTTCCCCTAGTGGGACCGTATACCTCCTGCATTAGGTGAAGGTCCTGCACGCAAGTTAAGAACCTCTGCGAATGATTGGATTTGGCTGACTGCTCCTCCCAGCAGATATCAGGGTAGTTTAGGTCCCCCATGACAACCACATCCCTAGACTGTACGGCCTCTGAGAGCTGCCTCAAGTATTCCAAGTCTAGCTTTTCTTCTTGCTGGGATGGTCTGTAGCAGACCCCTGCCACCAAGTCCCTTTCCCCTCGACCTCCATGTATCCTAACCCACAATACCTTAACTTTCTCCTCCTCTGATCCCATTTTGATTAGGGTAGGTGTATAATGTTTCTTTACATAGAGAGCAACCCTGCCCCCTTTCCTCCCTACTCTGTCCCTTCTGTACAACCTGTAGCCCTCAATGTGTATCGCCCAGTCATGGGTAGGGTCCCACTCCAGTTGATCCCCAGCCTGTCCTGGTGTATGGGATCATTCCGTCCTCTTACAGAACCTGCTGACAATCTTCTCCTGAGGCCATCAGAAGCCAAGCAAGGCTGAGAGGACAAATGTGCAGCATATTTGATGTTGCAATGTGTAAGACACAAAGGAAACTCTGTCTCTAACACATGGGCAACTATTTTGGCTGGCAGACCACTTAACAAGTTTTGGTGAGCTGTTGAGGGCTGCACACATATAATCTTCCAGAAGGTATCGTTTTAACATATTATTTATAAAAAAACCCAAATCGCATACTAAAAATCAAGCATCTACTTTAACATTTTAATTTTATTTTAAATAATAATTTTGTCCTTTTCTATGTGTTTTTGCATAGTGTATATAGAGGTGGTTGCATACTGGCTCAAAATAAAGTGTTACTCTTCTATACTGTGTTGGGGTTTGGTGGGGTGAGGAGGCTTGGGCAGGTGTGGAGTGTGCACGTGTGTGCGGGAACTAGTGCATAAAGGGCAGGAGGAGGAGAAGCCACTGGATGCAGAGGGAGCTGAGCAGTACCCAGGAGTAGCCCCGCTGGGAAGCTGTGCATGCAGGCCAGGGCCAGGGCTGTCAGCGGGCATGGGTGGAAGTGTGGCACAGGCTGCCCTGGGTGGAAGCAGGCAGGGCTTAGTCCCATGAGGAGCGGTGCAGTTGGCAGGCTGGATCCAGCCCATGGGCCATATTTTGCCCACCCTGCATCTGGACTTACCCCCACTGAAGATGCCAGATGTTTCAGGTGAAGTTTTGGTGGGTGTAGAGACAAATCTTTTCCCTTTCTGGTACTTGCGGAAGGACTCCATTACCCTCCAGTTGCAGTATCTGAAAGGGAAATGTTAAGGCAAATGCAGCACATTAACAGCCAAACCCTTAATTTTTATGAGGATTGTGGCTGGAAATAGCATCCCATCTGCACTCATGGTTTCTTTGGAAGGAGGGAGAGACAGAGTCTGGCAATAACACAGCTTCCCCTAAACCAAGAGAGAGGCACATTTACCTTCTCCAGAAGTATATCAGGACTGGGAACACAGTAAGTATGACCCCATGATAGAGGCTGCGATCCACTGTCGCCTTGGAAGTTAAGTTTCGGATGTAGTCTCTCTGTCCCTCCGTTATGTTCACCTAGCCACGGAACAGAGGCTACGTCACAAGTGTGGTTTGACATATGGGCAGCAGCCCTACTGAACACATACACTGTCCTGCTGCCTGCCCTACTAGCATCCCATCTGCACTCATGGTTTCTTTGGAAGGAGGGAGAGAGAGTCTGGCAATAACACAGCTTCCCCTAGACCAAGAGAGAAGCATGAATCTGAATCTGCTGTCAACTTAAGAAACATTGCTATAACTCAGAAGTGTCCAGAGAGCATGCTTGTCTATTTCCTAGCTAAGCAGCCAAAAACCAAAGGAAATCCATGTCTGTCCCTTTCATCTAATCCCACCACCCTAAAAATCCCTGGACATAAGGATAAACAAAACAGCAGCACACCACAGGTTGGATATCAGTGACCTCTAGCGGTCACAGACTGAAAGGATCTCCTCCATTGACTGCAGTGGCAGCTTATGTGCTTCTACCCAGGCTTGAAGGAGTGTGGAGGTTGCTCAGTTTCCATTGCCATTCAGTCCTCACTCTTTCTGGATTGCCATGAGGATCAGCTGTGACAGCAGTTTTTCATGATAAGGGGCTCCTGTCCACTAAGACCTGAACTGATGCCACTGCCTGATTTCAGACCATGTCATGGACCAGTCTTCAGAACTGGAGTAGGTTTTGCTAGAGCAGATTCAATCCTATTCCTCATTCCACTTGTCAGACAGACCCCAATCTAAAAGGTTCCTAAGTCTTCTCAGTGGTAAGCATGGTGGACATATTCCAGCATCCTACCCGCAGCTTAGGGGGCACCTCCGAGTGCAGGAAGACTTTAGCGATCATGACTGCTTTGCTCTTTAAAAAGGCAGCTTCTTTCTCGGAGTACATTCCGCAGGTGGCTAGTGCTGCAGCTGAATCAGACAGCTTACAAAACCTACAATGGAAAACTGTTAAGTATTTTATATTACATTTCTTTGGAGTAGAGACAAGGACCAAGATCTCCTCCCTTCCAGCTAAGTGGCCTAGCAATTAGAATAAATGGTAATACTCACTCTCTGGCCCAATGGATATGTTAGTCCATGAAAAGTGGAGAGCTATAAAGAGGAGCACCCCTGCCCCCCAAAAACCTACTGTTTGATGGCCAGGGCTGAGCTAGTGGAGCAGAGGATGCTTACTTGTCAATCTCCAGGAAGAACCAGAGGTCATTGACTAGAAAGCTGACAGTAATTAGTCGGTTTAAGACGCGGCGCTTTATAACTGCTGCTTCAACATCCTCTCCTGTGCTGGTGGTAGGCATGTTCTGGCGGGGGCTAGACCCTACAAAGTTAGTGCGTATGGAGCTGGAGGGCAGATCTGAGAGAGCAAAATGGAAGATGCAATGAAATCTTCTCTGTTGGTGTCCTGGAGTCGCTATCTAAGGTATGAGGCAAACAGTGAGTTTTAAACACTATGGGATGTTTTCCAGCATCACATTTTCCAGCATCTTATATACAATATTGCAGCTTTAAATAATTTATCTTGCTTGAACCAGGAGTGGGTGTGTTGCATTTGGACTGGAAGTAAGAGTGAGACTCAAATCCACTGGTGCAGATGTCACTGGCCTTGCTGTTTCTTTCAGTTATGCACATATGGTGTCTGCCTACCAACTTACCCCAAGACCTTAAAATATTTCTGACAATACCAACCTGTATCCTAACCCCTACCCCACCTAAAGTGTTCTTTCCTATATATGTTAAAGCACTACACCAAGGCATTACATGAAAAGGATTTATGCTACTGCTACAGGTAAGTCACCATATGGTAGATGTTAATGTCTGTAGCCAGGGGCTAAGGGCATGTTGACACAGCCTCTGACTGCTAGGGCGCACTGCCACAAAACTGCCCATCCTTTTGCTCCCATTCCATATGTGCCAAATACTGAAAAATGTACAGCAAATGCAATGAGAGAAGCTCTGGATTGTGCCACAAAGCATGCCTGGGAAAGAGCACTGTGATGGGTGCACACCAAACAGGCCTCATGGCATTCTTTGCCATTTGGCATGTGCAGACCAGGAGCAAGTGGCTGGAAGAGAGGAGGGGAGGCTCTCATGGTTGTGCTCCCTAGCAAGATCAGAGGCTGTGTAAACACTTCCTATGCTGCTCCACAGACTCACTACTACAAGCAGTAGCTGGGAGGCGCACTGGGTGAGTCTGGATTATTCCCAAAGACAGAGTTGGTGCCCAACTGGTGGGGCCTGGTCTTTGAACTGTGATGCCTAGGTGATGTTACCTAATGGGTGTATAAAAAGCCCACTTGCATGTGTGCTTAGATTAACACTAGGTACCCAGGTACTTGGTTTAGGTGCCACATGCCATCTTGAGTGCTCTGCTCTCCTAGACTAGAGGCCATGAGTCCCTTCTCCAGTGGCTAATTCCTTGGGAGCAGATTCTTGCTATGGACAGAACAACCCAGCAGCTTCATTTGTTCTGAACCAGGTGGTATCCAGGCTTCTCACCTGCTTTGAACAGAGGACTCCCTGGTAAGAAAACACCCTTCCACACAAGAGGTCCTGAGGATAGGAAGGGAGCAAGGCATGGATCTAGACATACTTTCCTTTTTGTTTGTTAGCTCCCTGTGGAGAAAGGTCTCAAACACTCTGCGAGATTTTGGACTGGCCATCTCCCTCTGGAACTTGCAGATGCTCCTGATAAAGGCACGTAGCATAAACCAGACTCTTTTCTGTGTTAGAGAGCATAGATGGTTTCAGCCTACACATAGCACTACAGCAGTTACTGAGGCAGCAAGGGAAGGCAGTAATTAACTGTGGGCTAGATGGGGATGCCTTAAAATAATTATCCCAGTCCTATCCCCCAAGGTCTGAATGATGAAGGATCCCCCTCCACGAGCACCTACGATTATGAACTAAACCACTATGTGAAATCACTGAACTCCACAGAGGTCTTTTCCTGCAGTTGACCTTACAGGACTGGGCCTATAGATATTAACTCCCTCTCTGGCCATTGTTCTGCAGCCCTGCATGTGCTCTTCTTGCCTGACACCCTTTGCATTTACATCAGCACATCTGCAAAACATACTGGCCGTCCCCTCTCTGGCACATTATCACGTCACCAGGTTCTCCTTACTCACCAGGTTGTCCTTCATGAAGGTTCCCTTTCTCTGCTTTTTGACAGCGTGAGTCTCATAAACATTGCTCCCAGGGAACAGGTCTTGGTACATATGAAACCTGCCAGAATGGACCCCCAGGAATGTGAAAGCATGCCAAGGGCAACCAGACTCACTGCCCTTGAAAGCTGAAGGTGAGGTTAGTAAAGGTTGTTATCAGGAGAAAGCAGAGCAGGGAATTAATTTCTACATTGATCAAGACTCTTTATGCCACTTCCATTTTTGTGGGGAAACTTGAGGCAGAAGGTGAACCTAAACAATATCTGGGGCCCCTCCCCACAAGCCTCTCCTGCTAACCACAAGTTAAAGCATATAGGGGCTGCCATTTCTGTGTAGTACCCTGCTCCTGAACTCCCGGTTAAGAAAGGACCGTCATGGCCTGCCCTTAACATAACATGTACATATATTTGAATATTAAAATGAACAGACTCAACCCTACTGTCCTTATACAGGTAGCCTCCACTCCATCAGCTGCAAGTCTTTGCTGGGGCCAGGCAGGACTGAGTTAGCACTTTGAGATTTAGTGTCGGCCTTGCTGTCTTATTTTCCAACATTAGCACATATATTTGAGCAGGCTACTTTATAAACCTATGAACAAGGTGTAGAGAAAGCAGTCTAATGCTGAAGTGTTTCCCCATGTGGGAAATGTGGTTGTGTAACCACTATTAAGTAATTTAGCAACAGTGCCCTGCATCTCAGGAAGGCTCAGGAGCCCTTACCATTTCTCGTCCATTGCTTTCATGACTAAGTGCTGTGCTGTTATTAACATGGAGCTGGTGACCATGCTGGCCTTGGCTATTTCTTTGATGATGGGAGCATTGCACTGCAGCAGTTCCTCTGGAAAAGACACAGGATAACTTCCTATCATCCACATGAGCTGTGTTATAATTTCTGAATTATCTAGAAAATTACTCCCTCTCTCTTGTCAAGGTCACCTTGTGACCTTGTACTCAGGTCACAAGGACCCGAGTCGTCATCATCCATCACCCTGCTTAATATCACTACTCATTCTATCACTTTTACTGAACACATTTTCCATTATTGCTTAGCTTATTTTTTTACTATTTTGCTGCATGTTCAAACCCATGCCTATGTCTGTAAAAATACGCTTAGGCTCCTGCCACATTTTACATATATTATGCAATTAATTGGTTTATTGCACAATAAATTTACACCAGCCACTGATGCAAAGACCAGCCACACACACAAAGTATTTACCACACAAGTCAACGGTTAGTTGTGCAATAAATTTAGACTGGCCACATATGCAAAGTAATTATCATGCCATAAAAATGTCCATCCATCTATAAAAAGAGTAAAAAGAGCCAACCAGCTACAAATTTTGTGCTTGAAAACGTGTAACAACTTTATAGCTGGTTTCAATCCAGCTAATTTGGATGTGTGGTAGGGTCTTCAGAGATAATGGTACCTTACACACATTGTAAGTGTTATAACTGAGTCCAGTAACAGCTAATGGAGACAAGGAAGCATTATTCTCCCCACAGCAGGAATCTCTAGGTGAAGTTCATCATAGAAATCACAGAAAAACAGGACTGGAAGGGACCTACATAGGTCACCTAGTTCAATCCTCTGCCTGAGGTAGTATCATCCTTAACCAAACCAGTAGCTCCCTGAGTAGGGCCATAGGGTGCTAGGTGCCTGTAAGGACAGGAGTCTTAGGAAACAATGAAATGAAGAGAAATAAAATGAGAAATAAGATCCCTGCTGAATAGAAGTCACACTAGACTGGGTAGTGAGGATTTTCAAGACTGTATACTCTGCTACAAAGTGGGACCTAAATCCTGCAGCAAGATCTCTGCATTCAGCAGAAATCTGTGGTGCAGCTAGCTGGAAATACAGCTGAGGGACAAGAGTCTCTACCTCACCTGGAGCAGTGCACAGAGACCTTAAGCCAGTCCTTGATAAGGACTCCTCCAAGGATTCTTCCATTGATGGGGAAAACCAGTGTATTAATTTATAGTTTTAATAGCTCTGGCACTGTTTCAAAACCAGTTCTTCCATGAATTGACTCAGTGTAACATGAGCTGGTCACCTACCTAAACAAACATTTTACTGTGGATGTAGCTGTACAACAAATTACTAAATCCCCATTAGGGCTGTGTGAAACAGCACCATTTCGTTTCAACTTCCGTTTTGCCGTTTCAAAGGGACAGCGTTTCATTTCGTTTTGAAGCACTGTTCCGTTTCGTCAAAACTGTTTTGCTATTTCAACATGTTTCGATGTTTCACCCATAGGCTCTAATGGGGAATCATGAAAATGCCTATAACTTTGTCATTTCTTGCCTGATTCGGATGAAAATTGCAGGGATGGTAGCTCCTTCTGAGGGCATGAAGCCTACCAAGTTTCAAGGAAATAGGTGCAGGGTTTTTGTGACACTGCACCTCAAATAGTTGAAAGCAAAACTTGTTTCACTTGCTGGCAGTGGCAGCCTGCTGTCATCTCATGCACGGATCTGGGGGCCTGCACCCCCAGGAGGGCTGTGCTGGACTCCTCCCAGGGGTGGGATGACAGGAGGCTGGAGGAGACAGGAGGCTGCCACTGCTGCCTGGGTGGCAGTGCTGGGAGGGCAGGTGTGTGGAGGGAGGAGGCTACAGCAAATTTTGGGGTGGCAGCAGCCCCCTTTCCATCGCTGCAGCCTGCCCTGAGCACCAGGGAGAGCCTGGTGCTTCCCCTGCTGCAGCCCTGGGAGCAGCGGATGCTGCCTGTCTGCAGCTGCTGGGCTGCACTGCACCAGGGGGTTCAGGGCACGATGATGCTCAGCACCTGCAGGCAGGTGGTATCCTCCTCTCCTGGGGTGGCAGTGGGCTCCTCCCGGTGCTTGGTGGCAGCACTGGGAGGGCAGGCTGGTGGAGCCGCTTGGAGTGCAGCCCTGGCCTGGCTCTCCGCCACCTCCCGCCCCCAGGCTCAGCTTCGTGGGGCTGCAGAGCCTCCAGCCGCTGGGCTGTGCTTGCCAGGGCAGCCCCAGGGAGCTCAGCCCGGTGGCGGGAGAGCTAGTGGCGAAGCCACTCGGTGCGTAGCTCTGATGAGCAGAGCCCGGTGGCAGGAGGCCCCACAGCCCCACAGAGCTGAGCCTGGCGGCAGGAGGCGGCAGACAGCCACTGGCCAGGGCTTCACTCAAAGTGCCTCCGCCACTGGCTCTCTACAGCCCCCCACTGCCAGGCTCAACTCTGTGGGCTGTGGAGCCTCCCACCGCCAAGCTGTGATCTCCAGGGCTGCACTTGGAGTAGCTCGGTCACTGGCTCTCCCGCTGCCTCCCACCACTAGGCTGAGCTTCGTGGGGCTGGAGGAGCTGCTTGGATCGCAGCCCTGGCTCTCTCCCGCCTCCCGCCACTGGGCTGCACTCCAGGTGACTCTGCCAATCCCATGGAGCTGAGCCTGGTGACAGGAAGCAGCGGGAGGTGGGGGAGAGCCACTGGCCAGGGCTGCGCTCGGAGCCAGGGCTGTGCTCCAACCGGCTCCGCCACTGGCTCTCCCACCACCAGGCTGAGCTCTGTAGGGAAGACCCTGGTAGAGCCCCCTAGCATTGCCCCAGCTCCAAGTTCGATTCCCCAGCTCTCTGATCGCTTCCCCCAGCTCTTCCTAGGGGGCATGGGCTCCTGGATCTGCACGCTGGGTTTCAGCAGTTGTCACTGTGGTTTCAGTGGCAGCTTACTGAAACCCCGCGCACAGATCAGGGGCCCACGCCCCCTGGGGGAAGCAAAATTTCGCACCCCCCTAATCCCCATCACCTAAACAATATGGAAATGAGGGAAGTTGTGTATGCCCACCATGGGTACTGGAGGATACTACACTTCCTCCGAACAGCCCTAGTGAAAGTTCTGCATATCTCCTTGCCAGAAAAAACCTTCTAGGAGAGACCATCTCCTTTGCTTTAACACTCAGCTAGAAGCCTTGATCAGTTTTGCTTTCCCTGGAAGCCCAGCCCCACAGAACGGCAGGAAGAGATTCTGGATACCAGGAGGGGTTATGGAGTGGAAGAAATTCTTGACAACATGGGTGATTGCATCTCGCAGAGCGTTGGCATTGGTCTGAGCACTCATCTTCTCCACCGCAAGCCAGAACAGCAACGGATGTTCAGAGTTGTGTCGAATGAGAAATTGCTTGAAGTATTCCAAGTGGACAGCATTGTGCAGAACTTCCAAGAAACACCTGAAGAGAAGGAATATACCGGCTGAGATGACAGTTCCACTGCATGGGACCTTAAGAGCAGGACCTCCATGCCAGCTTCTCCACTGGCACAGTAAATTTTTGTCTGATTTGCAGAGATAGTGAAAAGCCTAGAAACTTAGTGCATGGGAATGGGCAAACCAAGGCACTGCCACAGAGCATATATTTTCTCTAACACTGGAAAGCAGATAGCTGCCTGATACTTATCTACTAATTCACTAGGCATTATGGAATCAAGCCTCCTGCCATGCTCCCATGTGGCAGATGAAACCTCCAATGGGTCAGTAGTTTCAGGGGAATATACCCTATGAGGCTGACTCCAAATGGAATCACTCAGCCATTACAGTTTTGGTGTAAATCATGGAGACTGTCACGGTGGGGTCCTCTAGGAGGGCCGTGATCTCCTCGAGGTCCCTTGCTCCGTGTCAAGGCCGGCCCAAGACCCCCTCTTATTCTCGCCCGCCATGTCTTTGCTGTTTATATATAAGGTTGAGAGGCTGCCTATGACTCCCTGGGCACGGCTAC